GTTCATGTAACTTCATGTTTAGGGTTTGTCAACAGTGTTGTGTCTCAGCAGGATGTTGTGTGCTGTACTGGGTCATCCTGTCCCATGTCAAGAATAAGCTTGACAGCTTTCTGGTAGTGCTCTGGCAGAGATCTCTAATACTTCCTTTCCACTGGGGTTTGCAATGTTTTTCAGAAGAAACAAGCCATTTCATTTTCCAAATAACAGTCAAAACTGCTGTTATGTGTTGAATTCATAATTCAGAACAAATCCTTTGGTTCATAAGGATTTATTAGGTCTTATTACTGCATACCTTGTTTTTCCATTTGGTAAATGCAGTGCCCATAATCAAATGATAGGTCTGATGCATCCATCTAATGTTCAGATACTTCTGACCTAGTGTAGTGTAATTTCTCATATTACTGTTGACTTATTTATGGCTGCAAACTGCTTCATTCTGCTCTAATTTTTTTTAAATGGGCATGTCACTCTTTATTCTTGATTGTTGATAATATGTGTATCCATTGCAGCTTTGAATATCACACACATGGTTTTGTACAGCTAACAAAAAACTAGCTGCTTGCTGTTTTAGCCTCAGTGGGTTAGACACTGGTTAAACGGTATAAAATCCTAGTCCTGCACGAAACAATTAAGAGGGACTATCCCCCCGGAAACTTCAACTGGAATCAAACTTAAGTTGTGTATGTTTCTGGATGAAATCTCTACCCGCTTGCTGAGGCTCGATGTAAGTGTTCAGAGATTTTGGTCTGCTCGTGTGACTTCCAGAGACAGTATGCAGTGAGTTTTGTTTGCTGAGTGAAAAGTAGCTTTTGATGAAGTGATAAATACTCATCTTAGCATTCTGCAGGCTGCAGAGATTTAAGTAATAGTTTATGACTCATGTTTCAACATCCTTATCAGGACTGTCCATGATACACTGCATGTAAAATAAGCTCTGCACACCTTGGTATGTACTTGCTTGATCATTTTTACACACCTTTATAAAATGTAACATTCAGCTTTACCTTGCTACACATATATTAAAATAATCACAGAAATAGAAGTAGCAATGCTTAGAATTTTTGAAGTCAGATTAAGTTACCATACATGCAATTCACTATAACTTTTTTTTTTTACCGAGCATATTCTACAGTAGCTCATCTCAGTCCATCTGTGGTGTTTGCCAAACTTCATTTTCCACCTGCCATAAATAATTCAGCCACAAGGCCAAAGATAGAGGGAGGAGAGAAAATGTTACAAGGAAAGAAGATTTAATAATTTGATGAATGTCTTTCTGTGGTAAGCCTGCCAGGCACTAAGAGCCACTACCAGAGGGATTCAAGTAGCTGACTATATACCGGAGACGGCAAGCTTCAGAATGTGAGATGGTAATGACTCGGCCAGGCCGTTAGCAGCAGCGAGACCATTTTAACTTTTCGTTGTCTTTTTCTTTGTTTTTTCTTTTCAGGTTATGGAGCAGTGGGTTTAGACAGTGACCCAAGTTATGGCCACACACCGTCTCATCACACCCCTCAGTTCTCCAGCCTGCCCTTCAAACATGAGGACACACTATCACCTCCAAACAACATAGGTAACCGTCTGCATCCTGATGTCTTTTCACTAAATTAACTCGCAGACAGGAAGACTGTAATGTCATAGCAAGGTTATATAAGTAACCTGTCATTTTTCATATCGCAGCAGAGAATCACTATTATCCATTTTCCTTCGTCTCAGTCTGCAGACACAATCTCCCTCTCGCTCTTTAAGCATGCATATGGTTAATGACTCTGGAAATGATAACTTGAGGAAACAGCTTTGTGTGACTCTGCTTGAATGTCAGAAACTGTCTGGGGACCAATATACTATACAAACCTGAAACAAACCATCGTTTCTAATCGCCCAGTCCTCTCCTCGAAAAATGTGCCTTTGAAATAAATGATTGTTTTATAAATTTATTGTTATGAGTGCACTTGAATGTTGTGTGTGTGTGTGTGTGTGTGTGTGTGTTCTGATAAAATTTAATAGCACAAACCTTTTTGTACAACATCAAGAATTTTATAAATAGTAAGCTGCTCAAAGACAATGGAAAGTGTGCACGTTAACTTTTGACTACTCTAGTAACTTTCCAAATCTGTTAGTTGATTCACTGATCACAAGAGAATTAATAAGGAGCCATTTTAATAATTGTTTAATTGTTTTAGTCATATTTTAAACCAAAATGCTAGGAGTTCACTGGTTCTAACTTGAATTCACATTTGTCTGCTTTCTTAGTCTGGTATGATAATTTACTGAGCACTTTGTGTTGAACAGCATAATTAATATGTCACTTTCTGGGGAAAGGCATTTTTCACTTTATTCTGGCATTTTATAGACCAAACAGTTCATCATTAATGAAGACAATACTTGCCCGGTCAGTCAATAATGTACTGAGACTATAACAAAAACTGGCAGTTGTATCCCTGTTTTAAAGCAAATTTATTTTATTCTATTCTATTCAGTTGACCAGCAGTATCCGGCTCCTCCTCCGGTGTTTGGGTGCCACAATCCTTCAGAATCCTGTCCAAACAACCAAGCTCTGCTGCTGAGAAACTACAGCAGGTACAATTATTTGTCCATGCATGCATTTATTATTACTCCTGCTAACCTTTTGGCACAAATTCCACTCTTTC